ATTAAGAGATGTTTAGAAAGTGAATATGTAAAAGAGCCACAATAAAGTATGAAAGGCAAGTCTGAGGGGGTGGCTTTATGGCATTTTCCACAGGACAGTGTTTCTAGGTGTCACTGCACCCCGCATCTGGCAGGTCGTGTTTAGATAAACAAGGCGCAGAACTGCTTTGATGTTGGCAATATGCAGGAATTTTAACTCTGCTTCTTGACTTCTGCTTCAGCAAGTCTGTGACTTTCTCTAATAATCTTTGCATGACTGATCAGAAGCAAACATTACAGAGATAAGGGGTGGCAGCTGTGGTGCTTAATTTCAGCATTATCTGACATTTGTCACCCACATCTCCCATACCATGAGCTATTGATACACCAGGGGATTCTTCTCTGTCAATGACTGCATGTTGTCAAAGCATGCTTACATGGGGTTCAAATCTCCCTTTCAGTACCACTGTTAGGAGCGAGACATTTAACTCTCTGTCTTAAGTGATAATGTCATTAAGAGAACAATGAACAGAAGCAATCCTGTCCTTTGCTGTGCAGTGAAAAGTGTTTTCACCCAGATAGCCTTTCTAAGGGGAGAGGCACAGAAGAGAGAAGGACAGGATTCCCTATGGAGCTAAAAACGGGCTATAGTAAAGCACCATGCCACCTGAGACCATCTGTGAAGTTAAGAAGGGAGGAAGGGAGTCCCAGACTGGAAGCTACTCTCAGTGAAAGGACAAGCCTGCTCCCAAAACCAGCAAAGCACGGTGAGAAGGGGGAGAAATGTGTAACTAGTGATGGCTTAGCCAGGCAGAGCTTGCACCTGCAAGAGATCGTTTAAGATTTGGTTGCAGATTCTCTGGCAAAATAAGTGAATTTAAACACTTCTGAAAGAGTTGTTCAGGTATCATGAGTTTCAAGGGAGTCTGAAGGCAGTGTAAAATGAGGTGTTGCAAGCTAAAAGCAGCTGTTGCTCTAATTTATACCTTAGGGCCTTTTTGCTGCTCAATGTATGTTGAAATGGAGTAGGCCTAAAGGGAAAGTAAATTCATCTTATTTGTGCCCTCAGTTTAGGCTGTTCTGCCAGAATGCAACAGATATACTGAACATATTTTCCTAGGAATTTCCTTCTGCTGATTCCCTCAAAATATCATTTTTTATTATTGCTTTAGCTATGGTGTATAGTTGACTTTTATTGCCTAGAGTATGTGAACATGCAATGAAACTCATTTGGTCTCCCAACATCTATGTAGAACCAGTTAGTTTTCCAAAAAAGAAATGGATTCCTAAATTCCTCTGAAATGAAATATCTGTTTTTTTTTTTGTTTGTTTGTTTTTGTTTTTTGTTTGTTTGTTTGTTTTTTTGTTTTGTTTTGTTTTGTTTTTTCTGATTCCCACCAAAATGGATGGGAACAAAATTCTTTTATAAAGCTCTCTTTAATGACTTGCAAGAGCTGGGGATAGAGTAGAGGATTGACCTGGGCTTCAAGGACAGCCAGGAACATGTTAAAAAGTGGAAAACATTTTCATCATGTACTAGTGGCTTTATAAGTGCATGAGCCAAGCACATGTGCAACTGGCAAAATTAGACTGTGCTACTTCATTATAGAATCTTTGGTGCAATTAGACATTTACCCTTTATATCCCATCTTTCTTTGAGATTGTATATTTCATTCACATTCTGTGTTGACTATATTTTAACTTGTGATTCAAAGTATTTCTGCTTATGAATCAGTCACTGCATTATGCTGGGATTATATCAAGGATGCTGGAATACTCCACTCACATTGCAAAATTCAAAGGCTTTATTAATATTTTGCAGTAATTTTGCATATGTCTTGTTACGCATATAACTAGATTCCTGTTTAGCATATGTATCAGTGACATGCAGTGTGAAGGATACAAATTTAGTTATAGAAATACAGCTGTATCCAGTACCTTCCAAAAATAGCTACCTATTCTTTACCTTCTTCAAAAGTAACAATTCTGAAAGCTGTCAATCTACATGACATTTTCTAAATCTAAGTTGAAAATTGCTAGTAAAGCTAGTCATAGGAAATGTGATAAAACTATAGACCATGGTAATATTTTTGATTCCACTGAAATTGAGGTACTTTGACTTAGTTTAATTTCCTTTTTAAAGAAGAAAGAATAAGATTCTCAGAATGTATATGTCTATTTAGAATTTGTGAAGTTAAACATCTTTTTTCATTTGGAAGTCACAACTTACCCACTATAATTTTTTTTTTTTTTTTTTTTTTTTTTCTTTCCTATAGGGAAACACATAACATTTCAAATAGAAACAAAAGTCAAAGATTTGTATTTTTTTGGAATGAAATGTATCTGAAGACCTCAAGTAATCCACCTTTGTTCTTCTAGACCATCAGATAGAACTCTTCTTCCTGGAAAATTTAAAAATTTTTAGATGTTCTCCCCCTGGAATGAAGCCAGTTCCAGTGAGTACAGTTCCAGTTACAATAGCAGCTTTTAGCTCCCTGCTTTTTCTCTTGAATGACTATCTGGCTTTCAAACTCTTTATTTTTGGTAATATAATTTACCTTACTTCACAGATCTTGTTTCAGTAAGCACAGTTAGAATTTCATCCCTTTACTCTCAGGGTTTCTGTGACTTAAAGATCACAATAATACTGCAAGGCATTTCTTGGCCTGATCTAATCAGTTAAAAGTACTTTGCAGAGGCAGAGCCAGTGGACTCAATTGGCCATGAGATTTGACTTCTGTGGGTTAAACCTAATGATTTTGTCTAACTGCCTTCTGACCCCAGCCAGTGTTCCACATCGCACTGCATCCTGCCCATTCACAGCAAGAGGCAGTTTGAATTTTTGTATCTAGCTAATAGTTTTTTTAGAGTTCAAATCATATTCTGATCTGTGTGACTATTTAGAGAAGTTTGAAAGGAAGCAGCATTCTAGCTTTGGGGGACATGCTTCTTACCTCTGTGCTTTTGACTTTTCCTTTTGTTATTTCTTATTTTCCTGACAATAATACTATCAATATCAAGTTAAAGGGAATTCCCTGGCTGAAATTGTCTTTTCACAGACTTCTTATCTGTCTAAACAGTCATCTGCCCAGAGCTCAGATCCTGCCTTAAAGTTTTATAACAGTTGTTTTTATCAGATACTTTAGAGATTTTTTTGGAACATTCTTCTCCTTCTCCATTAAAGAAGACTGATTTTCATGTAAACTCCATAACACTGTTCATACCCCAGAGTCCCTTTGTAGCTAGCTGTACAGTTAGCCTGGGATCCACTGCTAAAACAAAAAGTGCTGAAGAGAATAAAGGACTCTTCAATACAGAGGCAGAGCAGCTGAGCTGCTCCACCTTGTGTTTAATGTCAAGTTGCACCCCCAGATTTCTCCCTGAGTCTGTACCTTTTCCACTAAAGACATCAGTGCTTATAGCATGGTGCTTATACCTTTCTCTTATGTGATTTTGGACTCTCAAGATCTTCACAGTCCTGGATAAGTAATGCACACCTTTACCCCCATATATACGAATCAAATGGACTACATCTATTAGTCCTTAACAATTTGTTTCTGGTAACAGCCCCTGACACAAAATCTCTTGGATGTGTATATAACCCTGTTTGCAATCCACTCCTTGCTACCTGTCCTTTATCACATCAACCATGCTTTTCTTTTGTACTATCTCTCCTCCAGAGAGTAAGACTTCAGAAAAGAGACATGACTAAAACATCTCTCATTGAATTTTAGGGCAGTGTTTTAATATATCACACCCTGAGTGTTTTGTTAAACCCTTCTAAACAGTTTGTGGAAGAAGTGACAGAATAGAGTTCAAGCCTACTGCTCCCATCACTGTTTGGCTGCTAAAACAACAGCTTCTCCTCTCACTTCACTTTAGTTTTGTTAGTGATATTAGTCACCTCAAGAGGCAAGCACAAAGTGTGCTGTGTCGCTGCCTGGCTCATAGTGTCTAAGCACTCTCTGCTCTATCCAAGAAGAATATGACAGGAGTCACCTAAACATTTTACATTCATTTACTTTCAAGCACAGAGCAATTACTGAGAAGGTATTCACAATGAACACAAATAATTCATTTCCTTAAGCTTCAGCAAATAATTAAATAGAATTGTAATTTAACCAATTTGACTGTATCACACCATTTTTTGCTGGCTTAAATTGACTCAGATCTTTTTGTTCAGTGAAGCTATGCTAATTTATATTTTTTGGAGTATCTGGTCCCATCTTTTTATTGTGCTAAGGTTATCTATATTGTTGAATGTCATCTACTGCAAAGATCATTTAGTGTGTATGGAAGTCAGCTCAGGGACAACTTGTCAGATCATATTATTCCTGTCTGTTGTGGTGAAATACAATCAGAAATGCAGAAATCATCTCTCTTTCAGGAAGGTGAAAGAGCAATGCAGAAGAGAGGAGACATGCTAATACACCTAAAAGATGTCATCTTTCCTGAAAAGCATGTTTTGCAGGAATGTGATTTTAAGAGTGATACATCTTAATACATATTTAACTTTTTTTCCTCTGCCCTCAACATTTTAATGGAAAAATAATAAAAATATTGTATAAAATATTTTATTAAAATCCAGTCCTATTAAAATTTCACTAATGTAGAAAGCATAGGTATTATAAGCCTTATTCCTTATCCCACATCTTAGATTTCTGTGTTCTAACTATACACAATAATAATACATGATTACTGTAGCTAACCAGGTCAAGGAAAAATTGGAATATTGCAGTCATATTTATAACTAATCTGTTCTAGTAGAGGCATTTTTGGTAAAAGAGGTTAACAGTTCAAGTTTGAATAAAATAAGGTAAAGATTTACAAATTAACTTAATGAACAATTTTGCAAGCTGACACAAATAGCAAAAATATCAATTACAGATACAATATACAAGGGATATATTGTACTATTTCTCCTACTTTTCCTGTCTCTGGGTAACATTTTCAAGACGGTATGAAGGTAAGTGGATTGAGGTCATCTGAAGAAAAAGATACACTTAAATAGAAAAACCATCATATCAGGTATGTGAATCCCCCGTTTTTCATTTTCTCAACTCTATTATATTGATTTCTGGCCTTGCTTGAGTCTTTCCTACGCAAGGGAGAGGGGTCTTGCAGTTTCAGGGACTCAACTTCCCATTCAATTTATAAATGAGGCTGATATTTTTAGCAGGAAAATCAACATGAATACATACAAATGGAGTAGTTCCTTCAGAAATAAGGCAATGAGAAAATGTAACAGAGGAGTTATGTATAGTCCATCAAAAATTAGTGTGGGAAATAGTTTTTAAGGTTGAATGTTGCTTTGTGTCTCTCAGATGGACAGTTCCTTTGTCCTTTGTTATTTCTGCAATCAACACTGAATTACTATCAGAAACTGAGGCTGTTAGATAACCCTGACGCCAGGACCCAGCCCCGTAGATGATAGATAGAGACTACTTCAGTTGCTGTAAAAAACAGGCCCTTTCAATTTAGTACTTTTCTGTATGTGAGAAGTGTCTTTCTTTTTTCCTCCTCTGTGGCTAAAAAACATTTTCGCAGACAGAAAGAACTTATCTTGGGAAGACCAATGTTTTCTGCTCTCATCTAGCCATCCTAACCGCTCTGATGGAGCCTCTGCTTCTCTCAGTGCTTAGATGGTTAATCTGCCTATGCACTAAAAAGCTAAAATAGCTGTTTATTTTCAAATAATCATACATAAACAACAATGTTCCTACAGCATCAGAGCCAAGGGAAAGTAAGTTTGAAGGGGCCAGCTGCCTATGCACTTATTCATGAATCAAAAACTTGGATGTCTGGGGCTCAAAATATCAAGTACATGCTGATATTTCATTCACAATGACATGCTTTGGCCCACAAGGAAACATTTTTCTTTTCCAAAAACCTCCCATATTCCTGATAAATCAAGGGCTAGACTTCTAAAAAGGGCAAATATCCCCCGCTTAAATGACATTTCCTCTGGTGGGTCCTACTCAGGTCAGTTCTGGTCCCTCCTAAAGAAATCTTGATCTCTTCCCAGTATTGCCAGGTATCAGAGTCTAAAATCACATCTTTAGCAGGATTGAATGGAAGCTGCGAAAAGCCTCCCAGCTACAAAGCAGCAGATTTGTTTTTTAAAGGGAGAAGCACAGAGAATCCCAAGGTTTGTTAGCAAGGACCTGATATTTTCCATCCTTCTGCCTGAGGGGAAGATGCAATCATCTGGCACATGTTTACAGGGCATGAAATAACAACTTGGCTGTGACATTTCAGGTCAGAAATGTTCCACTCTTGAGCTTTGAAGACATGGGGGGGGGAGAACTGTGCATGTATATGTATGTACTGGTTATTTTCTCCTGTTCTTAGGATTTGCTATAACTGTATCAGCACCTGCTGAATGAAAAACTGAATTCTTCCTGCCACTTGAATGACAAAGCTGCCAAAACGGTGATGAATATTTCTTTCAAAGCAGATAAAGTAATCTCTCAGTGCTGGTCACCACTGAGTCTCCAGGAAACCTTCAGATGCAATTTTCCCTGTGTAGGTTTGTATTTATTTCTATTTTCAATGAATTGCATCAGTGTGAAACTGTCCAAAGAGGACACATAAGGAAAGAAAGAAAGAGAAAGACTTAACTGGTGTATTTCTGATTGACTGTGGAGTTCAGTACTGTGCAGTGAGCTGCTTTATCAATTAAGTTCATCCTTTTCTTAGGGACTGGGACAACCCTGGAGGGAAAGAAACTTTTGCTAAGCAATATATAGGACAATGAAATTACTATGAGTGATTTGGATTGGATCTTTGACACAGGTGAGACAGAGTATATCACAGCCTACAGTAAATCTGGTCCTGGCATTGATTTAATAATAAATGAGGTTAGAGCTTTTATCCTACTTGGTTATCTGACACACATGCTCACTCTCTTGCTCTCCCCACCCCTCACTCCCCATTGCATTCACCAGCTCTCAAGTTTCCTTCCCTTCAGGGAGATCACATTATCAGCAATGGGACCTAGGTATCCCCCAGTGGGTGTCCCCCAGTATTGATCTGCCTTCATCTTACTGATCTCCATGACCTCCCCCGTATCTTACACCTTTCCTCCAGTCATTATCTTCACCTTCTTCTTTGTGTCCCTGCTTTCACTTTCCAAAACCAATGCTATTTGGGAACCCTTCTTTGAGCACCCTCCTCTTTTCCAGACCCCCAAGTCCCCTGTCATCATAGTCTAAATAGTTTACATGCAGAAGCACAATGCACAAGCAGCCTCCTAATAGCTGGTTCTGTCTTGCATCTGTTTATTGACTGCAGGATTTTGGATGCAATTCTTTGTTTAGTCCAGGAGTTATCAAAATTTACATCCAGCCTAAACTGACTGCAGCTAGCAAGTAGCAGGCTTGTGCTCAAGAATTCAAAAGGTCGGTTTTGGTCATTCCCTACATGCATGTATACCCAATTATCATCCAGCCATTAGCATTTACTGCTTATTTTATTTTAATTTTATTGCCTGTAACAGGTTCAGTTGGTGAAAATCAAGGTAGAAAAATCCATTCTGGAGGTGGAAAAGTGCCTTTTTTTTTTTTTTTCCTTGCATGAATATTTGTGTTTCTGTTTTACAACAGAAACATTATTTCGCTCATTAAAATCTTGTGCACAGTATTGTTTGAGTATCATATAAACCCTTCATATAAAGGAGATTTACTACTTTTCCTCTTCATTTTGCTTATTTAGCTCAAGTCCTGTGTGATTACTCTAATGCAGGGGTTTGCCACTGAGGGCAATTTGAAATGCAATGCTTGCTACTCTCCCAGCAATGAGGCCACCTCAATGAATCCCTAGCTGGAACCTGTTTGAGTGCTCTGCCCCATTTCATATGGATAGAAAAAATAACATTGAAGGCAGAGAACAGACTGAAAGAGAGGGACATTTTACAAACTTCCCAAGTAACCTTGTCAGGAAGATGAAATGTTTTATTCTCTCACTCCTTTTCAATTTTCTCAGGTTCTGATATCTCCCTGTTGCCAATATTTATTTATTTTTCAGATGGTGCAATGAACTACAAAAACACAATGGCAGAAAGATTTGGAATTTAACGTTTGCATATCTGTTTTAAAATTTCAGTAACTTTTGTCTGCCCATCTGTCTTGTGTGTCCTTCTCTCCCTCTACCCAGTATCCCCCTGCATACACTTCTTCCACAGTCTGTTTCACAGATTTGATAGAAAGAATTACAATGAATCTGAATGGGTCATTTGCTTTTTACTGCATATCACTAGCTGAATGAATCTTTAGGAAAATAATCACAGAAAATTATGAAGTAATAATGCTTAAAAGACAGCTATATGTGTAAGTGAACACAGACCTGAATTCCCCTAATGCATTCTCTTTGGTCAAAGGTATTTCTAACCACCTTAGCTGTTTGCACCTGCATATAATCACCTTTTACTATATTGCCTGCCTAGACAAGCTTCAGGTGAGAGCAGACTCAGCTGAGCAGCATAAGCTAATCTCTGATTGCCTATCTGATAATAGTCTCACGGAAGTGAAGATCTGTCATTTCCCAATGATAGGAACTGAGATTTCAGGTCAGTTGATGTATGGTATCTCTTTCTCCCTTCTTGTGAATTCTTTGCTCCTGGAATAGCAGTCAGGAAAATAGATGCACAGAAGAAAAGCTTTAGACGACAAGGTGCTGGCATGTTGGGAATCATAGTGTGGTTTTCCTTTTGGTGAGGTACACAAGGGACAAGAATGGTGAGTTCATTAAGAATCTCTTTCCTCCTTCTCCTTGTGCAACAGATCTGTGAAATGTGCTGGGGGGGAAGGAGGGACTGTCAGCTTCTGTTTGGACAAGCTTCTGTTTATTATGATTAATAAAACACATGACCTGAGAGCTTTAGTTAAACTTGTATGGCAAAATAGGGACATTGAGCCACAATGTCTGTTGTTTGAGACTTCCCTGGTTCTCTGACATACCACAGAGGGCTAAAGCCAGCCCTTTGTGTCTGGAGGTGTCCTTATGTCACGCTTCTGTAGTCAATATATATATATGTTAGTTGGTGCTTCTACTGTATCCTGTGGAGTGAGGATCATCCCTGCAGTTATCCCAACCCCATGGTGGCTGAAGTTGCTTTACTCATTTCTAAATAAAGCAACATCTGGATTGAGCAGCTGGAAAATATGAGTAACTGTCACTGCACAACCATAGTGAAGTGCAATAAATAAAGCTCTTTGTCTCCCTCCAATGGATAATTACTGTCAGCATTTACAGCTGAGTGCGATATCCTTGCTCCACTTCCACCATTGGTAAAGTGTTAGTGACTGGCCTTTTTGTCACAGAGTCAGTGGCCTAAACTTTTAGATCCAAAGGTTTGGAGTTACAACTTTGGAGCCAATCTGGAAGAAGGATTTATATGCCCCTAATGCTTTAGCACAAGGTGTTTAGTTGCTGAATCTAAGACTATGGGGCAGAACAGAAGGATCTCTGATACATAGCCACATGTAAGGTTGCCGCTGTTCTGTAAACTCATCAAAAAATAGGTAGTGCATACATCTGGGATGTAGAAATTTCTACATATCTTCTCTGATGAAAGAAAACATTGGGGTTTTGCAACATTTGCTAGCAGCCAGAAGCTGGCTTTTAGCTCTGAACAAAATAATATTCATCAGTATAACTCTCCCCTTGTGCTGTGGCACTGGGGCTGTCCTGCAGCAGGCTGGCCTGTCGGTGCTGACTCCCGCAGCACCCTTGAGCTTTGCAACGGTTTGGTGCTCTGCTGTCCGACCTTTGTGTATGTGTGATGCAAGATCAAAGCCTGCAGAAATATCGCCACAGGCAGAAACAAAGGTTTGATGCAGCTCTGGCTGTTCTGAACTAGAGAAGGGCAGACTGCGAATCAATGCAGAGAGGTGCTGCGGGAGGAATGGGACACTGAGGGGAACAGGATTGGTCTCTGTCTCTGCTGCTGACTTATGCTAGCAGGCCAGGCTAAGGTAAAGATCCTTTCCACACAGATAATAAAAAAAGTATTATCAAAATAAAAAAAAACAACCACATCCATATAAAAATGCTATCGAAGATGCATTTAAAAATATATACATTTTTTTTGAAAGATAATGTTTGCCTGGAGGTAGCCTGCCTTTTTTTTGTAGCCAGCATCCCTGTGTCTTATCCCCTTCATGGCCCAAGTGGCTGGTTGAAAGAGGGAAGAGAGGAGAAGAAAGGGATCAGCTATGTCTCAAGGCCACAGCTGAACTTGACCTTGTGCTATTAAATTCACAGGAAGTCCTAGCAACAGCTCTGCTGCTGCATCTCTCTGCCCAAACAGACAGGAGTAAATGTCATCATTAGCATGTGCTAGCCAGGAAGTCAAGGTGGTAACAGGCAGAGTACCAGCAGAGCTGGGAGGGAAAGCTGGTGCCCGCAGAGTCTCATGAATGATCTGCTCATCCTAGCTCTGACCCAACAACTCCTCTGCCTAAGGTTCTTGTTCCTGTTGTGTGTGAGTAACAGAACCCATGAGGCTGGAACTGTGTCACTGGCTGAAGTCTGCAAAGCTTCATGGTGCAAGAGAAAGCAGTGATGAATGCGTGATGGATCCTTCAACAGTACGGTTTGTTGCTGTTATTGGGGAGGAAAATTCAAGGTGAGATGAAAAAGCACATCCTTTTCCACACTTATATGGAGAAAAACCTCATACTACAGATCTCATAATATCAAGTTCCTCTTGTAAAATTACTGGCATCCTTAGTTATTCACAATAATTATAAATCTGAACTGAAATCACAAGGAAGAACTATTTGTTTCTTAAAGAAATGCGCACACATATATGGATATGCAAACATGTAAGATGTACCAGTAAAATCCAGCTGCTTATTAAATATGATGATTTCTCCAAAGATAACCGTTATCCATTGCACAATACATATAACAGGACAGTACAGTTACAGACTGTACAAAGTGGGCATGCAATGAACTACACCAGAGTTGGCTCTGGTATCCTTGTGCATGGCTGATATTGGAAACTTGTATTCCTTTCAACTCTTACAGGCAGTGGTGTGTAACTGGGAACAGAAAGTTCATGCAGTGGAGAAGGTTGGCTTTTCCAAAGCAGTCTGGTATTTTGATATCCATTATGGGGAAGAATCTGTGAATAATAATGAACTGAAAGGCATGACCTGATACAAAGCCCAGGAAAACTTCCTCACTAGGAAATCATCCTTCAAGGAAAAGCTATTAGGAAATCTGAACTAAGAGTTGATAAGAATGTTTTCTTTCAATTCTTTTAAAGTCAAGCTACTTCAGAAAGAGGATTGCTGGTTTGTTTACCTTTGTGTAAGTAAAGCTTCCCTGACACAGGTCATGCTCAAAGGAAGTCAGACTCTACGTTATCTCCCAGACTACATTAGCAACCAAATAAACAAAGAATCCATGAACTGACCCATATGCTTACTCCAGATTGATTTGCAATTTTCTCTTTGTTTGTCTCTCCATTGCCAGAATTAAAAGACACTTGACTACCCCGTTGCACAGCTGGCAAAGCAGTAGAGAGCCACAAGCAAAGAACATCTTGAGATCCAAATCCCAAAGCTGCTTCTTCCACTACCCAGATCTGCTAATCCTAATGAAATGGTGTGTCCAAAGGGAGATGAATAGGAAAAAATTACAGTGGCAGAATTAAAGGCTTAGTCCATGCTTGCAGTTGCAGTTATAATTTGCACTTTTGGAGCACAAGATGTCTGCACAGTGGGACAATAGTGTTGTGCAATACAACCTGATGCCATGAAAACTGATCAGCTCCCTTCAAGGTAGCTTAATATTTTAAGGAGTTGTTCTTACAGCAAACACTTATTCTTACTGCACCACTGGCAATGGACAGCAAAGAGTTCTTATGGCTGATTGATTCCTCTCACACTTTTGCCAGTCAGATTTGTGTGTTCCTAGCACCCTGTACCAAGCAAAGACTGTTATAAAGGGTTTAAACTAGTAACAGAGAATCACAGAGGTCTTTTCCAACCTAAATGATTCTAAGATCATCTAGTCCAATCCCAGTATGTTAACAATATCACCACCAAGTTTTTGTTCCGACTTATAGTTACAAGGTTGGAAGTTACTACCAATATCTGGCTGTCACAGGCCGAATTATTATTATTATTTTTTATTTTATTTTTTTTCTGCAACTTGCATTGCTTTTTATCCTCTGAAAGGAAGTGAAAAGCCTTGATGATGTTTTTCTTCATCAGTGAGTAGTAAAACTGTTAATATGTTCATACATCCTGGTAAGTCTTTCTTTTTTTTTCTTCTTTTTTTTTTTTCCAGATTGAATTATTCTGAGATGAAGCAAACCTTGTTTCAGCCATAATGCTCTCTCAACCAACCCTTGTGATTTAAAAAAAAAAAAAACAAACACACCATAACAAAACCCTTTCCTTTCATCATCTTGGAATAACACAACTGCATTGTTACAAGATCACTATATCACTTATCACTTCTTGACATTCCCAAGACAAGATATAGGAAAGCTATTCTAACCAGAACTTACTGTACCCAGCACTTCAGTTCTTACTGTAGGGCCTTATGACTTCGTCTAGTGGCAGTTGTCTCTGTCCCCAGTGCTAGCTAAGACAGCAGTCATATTATGGTAATGACTCATCTCCAAAGAGAAGTGATAGAGACTTTATTCCCATTGGAAAATGCTAATTTGCTATATGTAAACCACTTCATTGAAACATGCTGCCTCTTATGTCAGAACTGAAAGAACTTCAAAAACTGAAATAAAATCAGAAAACGGGGCCAAAACATTATATCTGTGGCATTTTAAATGGAATGATTTGATCTTTCATTCCTTTTGGTTCCTTATTTATTTACTTATTTATAGGAAAACATAAACCAAGCCTGAAGGATAAGTCTGACCCATGTCAAAAAGGAATTTTTCCTACCCCTATTTTTTTCCATCACAATTTAAGTGGTGAGTTTTTTTCTAAGTATTAGCTTTGTAAATTCAAACTTGGTAGATTCACCGCAAAATAAATTAAAAATAACAATATTTCAGACCTATGTTCACCAAAACTTGGACCTGAAACAGGCAACTATTCCAGGGATGGGTTATTTTTCCCTTTTAATTAGACTTTGTTCCAAAGTAACTTTAAGTTTTTCTTGTTTCTGCACACCTATGTTAAATTTCCTATCAACTTGTCTGAAGCAGCAAGGAAAAATGAATATGTTCTTTCAAACATTTAACCATCTGTATGTATGAGAGAATGGCAATTGTCCAGAAGACAATGCTGCATAACATTTATTTTAAAATAAAAGGTTCATCTTTTCCTTTGGAAGATTAAAAATCTCTCGATTCTACAGAAATGAACCCTTTCATCCATGGCATACATACCAAAAATAGGTATTTCAGCACAATATTAAGTTCAAGTCCTGCTTGGATCATTGTGATATTGGTGATGATTATATTCATTTAGTGAAGCAACCCTTTGATGATATCCAGATTTTAGACTGGCATTGAGGTGATATTTTCAGACAGGTGGGAGAAGCCGGGCTAAAGAAAGAAACAGGAAGGCAAAACTCTTTTCAAGTAATGACTTATTAACGCTGGAAACCTCCCATATGGGAAGGTTGTTGCATGATGCTCTGTGTGCACAAAGATGCAGTTACAGCTATTATCTTGTCCCTGAGCGATTGGAACAGAACCGTGCCATTTTCTGTTTGCAGCAGCACTTTGCAGAAACAGCAGCACAGCACCTCAGATCATAAAGCACTTTGCAGACACTAAATCACAAAACATGCAAGTGCAGAAAGTGTTTTATCACTGCTTTCTTGGCATGCAAATTAGGGAGCCATTGAGTCCATGTCTAATGTATCTGTAGCTACATTCATTAAAGCAATTTATGATGAAGTTAGACTTGTTGATTCTGAACGATGGGATGCCAGCAGAAGAACCAGGGAAGATCTCTTGGCCAGTAATGACAGGGGTCCAATGGTCAGTATTGAATGGTCAGTATTGCTCTGGGGCCAAGGGGTTGCAATACACTGGTTGTATTGCTGTGGCTGTGGCAGACTGCCTGGCCGGACTATTGTGATTCTCCCTGCATAGGATCAAGAGCATTCAGGAGGACACAGCTGTCGGTGCAGAAATCAGCCTTCAAAATTGTTTGAAATCCAAATGACAGCATTGCAGGACTGTGACAAAAATGTGATCTTCCAATCACAGAAGATAGGGCTGTGTGGACAGTTAGACCTAGGGGTAACTCAGAACTTGGGAGGGAGCCATCCTGAGACAAGTAAGAGGATGAGGTAAGGTTGTCTGAGGAAAGTACTATCGAGTTCAAGGTCACCAGCTGTCAGGAACTGGATGCAAGTCTTCTGAACTAAATTCCAATCCCTGAGTCCCTAGACCACACTCGTAGGTCAGAATGAAAGCTACGTCTAGATCTGATGTCTAAACTCCTTAAAATGCAGAAAATGACTGAATTATGCATCTTGTCCATAAACAACACCTGCTCCTTTCACACAGGAATCCAAGTATATAAAGCCTGGTTTCCTAAACACTAGGGTAATGCTCAGGGCCAAAATGTCGACACGATATGTTTGTAAAAGCAGTTGGGACAGAAATTTTGTGTGTCCCAACTGCTTTTACAAACACATCGTATCAACATTTTGAACAAGATCATTTCTTTTTTATTATTTATTTTATTTTTTAAAATTTTAATTTAATTTTATTATTTATTTTTTTAATTTTGTCTGAAAGATGATTTCCGAATTCAATCTACTGCCCCAATCAGATAGGTTGATTTAATGCCTGACAAACTGTACAGCATATAAAAGTCATCATACTTCAGAACTTTAAGGAAAACTGAGTAAGTCTGTAGTATGAGGATGAGTGTCTAGCCTGCTATGGAGCAATGTATATCATATCTCTTTTTGCTTCATTTTTTTCCTCTGAAGAAAAAGGCACTTTGTTACTGATCTCCTTTATAAAGAGCTCAAGAACTGAAAATGATTATTAATTCGTAAAATATCCCTATCTTTGGAAAAAAAAGAGAAGAAGAGTTGGGCCTGTAGGTATTGTTACAACTAGCAATTTGCATCTCATTATCTTCTAGAATATTAACTTTTATCATACCACATATTCTCCTTATGCTGTTTCCTTTCATACTTAGGTTGACTGTAATGCAAAAACACTGGGAAATCTCACTCCTGTTTAGTTCAAGTTAATTACACTGTAGTTCAGGGATTTTGATAAATTGATACCTCACTCCTATCATCTTTGGCCCTGAATGAGATGGAAGAAAAAGGCAAGATTTTCTCATTAATGTATTGCTTTGAAATTAGGAGAAGAAAAAAAAATAAAAAGTAATCCTTTTGCTTCAGTTACATGTGATCCTACCAAGGCAAACCAGGAATGGTTATGCTACAGATGTTTCGGCTCACAAGAGTGATAGAGACTTTACTTCTGGAAGGGTCAGTTCTTCAAATGGCATATAATGACATGTTTGGAGGAAAAGGACACAGGTTCTAATTCTTACCTGGTGGTTAGATGCCACCAGGGATATGTGGATAATTATCCACAGCACATGGTGTCTTATTTTTTTTGGCTGTTTTTTTATTTCATAGGCATGGTCACTATCAATTATGAACCATGTTGTTCACTGGGGCAGCAAGAAAGGAGGGGGCTGCCCTGTGCCCCACTCTGAAAGGAGTGCTTTGAGCCCAGAAAATGTCCCATTTCTTCTCTCTCTGCCTTTTTTTTTTTTTTTTTTTTTTGTAAATCTTTCATTCAGCTTAAAGCAGCAAGAAAATTTACAATGCTCCAAGTATAACAATTAATGTGATTCTAATGTATAAAGTGAGTTTCAATGTCAGTAATCCTCTTGTCCAGCTGAGATATCTTTTCCTCCTCCTTTTTCACATTCTCATTTTTACAAACGTGTGTGGATGCATGTGCACACACACAGATGTGGAAGGTGTTTGTTTCCCCACCCTTTTGCCCTGGATTATTAGAGGCAGAGATAGCATTTCATCAGAATGGAAAACTATGGCTGTTTTCCCTGTTACATTGTCCCTGCAGACTTAATAAATAAATAAATACATAAAAATAATAATAATAATAGATGGGCCTAAAGATAGTTTATTTTTGTTGGTTTTGTTATTTGTTTGTTTTTCACAAAACATGAAGTGTCTGCACATACTCTTACAGCTCTACTATGTCAGATGTACAGCCCAGTCATTTATTGCTGCAGATTAACCTGATAACAAGAACAGTGTGACTTGTAAATGACAGTAATGCTTTCAAGAAATGCTAAGAAGACTTTATGCGCCCTAGTGAACTAACCAGAGCTCTTCAGCTTCCTCTGACAGAACAACTATCATTATCACAGCTGGATGAAGTAAGGCAAGGGCAAACTGAGCTGTCACTGTCACATCCAGAGACAGTGTAAAGGCTGGGACTGCAAGCCCCCAAGTATATGCTGATTTGTCCAACCTTAGTGTTACCTGTGGCATCAGTCAACAGTCCCATCTGCCATACTTTCAACTACCTATTTTCAGACTCCTAAATATTTTCTAGCAGAACAGTGATTCCAACAGAGCAGATTTGACCTTAATGATTTTTGTAGTTAGTTTTTGATGGTTCCATTAAAGATGGAAGTTTAAAAAGAAATTTAGTAGTAATAGAAAAAATGTAGTATCCTTCTGCTAGCTAGATGACATACATCCTCCCATTTCAGCGCAGGCCTTTGAGGAAAAAAAAGAAAAAGAAATTGTTGTTTGTCTTTGAAATGGACCGTGGCATCCAGAAATCTTCTATGTTTAGTTGCAGTTTGCAGCAATATCACTGCTGGTATAGCTCATTCCTTCACTGCAGGAATGGAGGGTACTGCTTTCATGGCCTCTGTGATAAATGAGTGTGTACAAATTCCCAGAATCTATTCAGAATGATATTTCCAAATGTAAGGTTTCCAGCTAAAAAGCTAGTCAGTTCATTTTGTCATTTCTGCTTCAACTTCAACAAAAGCAGAAAACTCATTTCTCTGTTTGAAGAAATTTAATTTAAAAGCAAGAAAAAACTATTCTCCTTACAAAAAGAGGCATTTTGTTAAGCCTGAATGTTAAAATGAAGCCCAAAGTTAATTCAGGAATGACTCTCATTTCTTTCTATTATTTATTTTTACTGCATCAGCAACATGCAGTAGGTGGTTGGAGGTGATTCTCAGCAAGCATCAGTGGGGAAAGCACTCTGGACATCACAGGGGCTTTGGGGAAAAAAACACTTTGGAAGGAGTGCAGATATCACTGAGCCAAGCTGCTGTGGATTTTCAATTCAGGCACATTAAGATCAACTCTGTTTTTGACACCCAAATTTCTCAATGAAATCTTCAGATGGAAAAAATCAGGATGACTCCACTGAAGCTGATGACACACTATCAATAAACTGGGGTGTATCAGTCTTTGACATTCTACTTATAACAATAATGCCTTGATTTTCTTCAACTTCTGATCAAGAAGCATGGCAGTGGTTGTTTCTGCAATGACTTCAATAAGTATATATGTAGTTATATGATTTCCTCCATTATTTGTGTAATTTTGATTTAATTACCATTATTTTTATGTTTAGAGAATTTTTAATTTCCTATTATTGTTACATTTCTGTTTTATACAGCATTTTAAGGCTCAGATTCTTTTCTGGAGCAAATAAAAATAGCTCCAATGAAGCCAATTTACGAATATTTACACCAGGTGACTGTTTATCTTATCTGGTCTTCTACTCAACATGAGAAGTGGAAAACAACAGGCAGATAATTTTGCAAAATGTAAATCTGCATAGTCCTGACAATGCACACTTCACTTGCTGCTGCAGAGAAGAACACATGGGTATCTTTCTGCATACTCTCATTTTTCATGTACTTTCTGAATTTAAACTTGCTTTTTATTCCTTTGATTTTCCTGTTTTCTATGGAGCACTTGAGCATTTTGATACGGCTTATTTGCGTAAAAAGAAGATTTTTTAAATTGGTATTATTTTTAAACCAGTAGATCAAGCTAGGGTCCTCCACTTAGGTTTCTATAAAATAGGCAGACAAGGTATAACCTACTTGCTTTATATGCCCAACATTCTGCAATGATCATATAAAGTAATTCTTTTATCCATAAAGTTATTCTCTGTGTAATAGCAATGGTTATGGAAGGAATTTTCAGATTAACAGTATACTGGTTAAAGGCTCAGAAGATTTGCATACTGGTCTGTTTTTTGCTATCAGAAATTGTCAAGTCACTCCACATGATCATCACTCTACACTTAAGATTTTTTTCTTGCCTAGTATCATCACAGGAATTTAGCCTCAAATATGGCACCTCATACAGAGAGATTTTTCCTACACTACAATCTCTTCATTTACTAATAAATCAACATTTTTATT